ACTGGTTACCCAGGTCATGAATCGCAACATCGTGCTGCTATGCGGAGGGTCTTAGGGCCAGAGAAGTACGAATTCTTTTTCGACAAATGGCTCGAGTATTTCTTCACCGAGGCGGACGCCAAGTTCTTTGCTGGGCTAGGATTGAATTGCATACGGATCCCGTTCAATTATCGCCATTTTGAGGATGACATGAACCCACGGGTACTGAAGGAGTCTGGGTTCAAGCACTTGGATCGGGTTATTGATTTGGTAAGAGTCCTGCAGCGTAACAACGGCATGATGCTGATTCGTTATTCCCCATGATAGTGCGCAAAAGAGAAGATATACACCATTCTGGATATGCACACCGCTCCTGGTGGACAGAACGGGGACTGGCATTCTGATAACCCGACCAGCTACGCTGCTTTCTGGGATTTCAAGGACCATCAAGACCGGACAGTATGGCTGTGGGAGCAGATTGCAGCACGATACAAAAACAATCCATGGATTGCTGGATACAACCCTCTGAATGAGCCCTGCGATCCGGAGCACGTCCGGCTTCCGGCTTTCTATGAGCGCGTTGAAAAGGCCATCCGAGCTATTGACCCAGATCATATCTTGTGGCTGGATGGAAACACGTTCGCTATGGAGTGGAAAGGCTTCGGGAAGGTTCTTTCGAACTGCGTTTATGCCATGCATGACTATTCTGTAGGCCATTTCCCGTCCGAACAAAGAGTACTCATGCTAATTTCTATATTAGTCAATGGGTTTCCCTACCGGAGAGCGATACAAGGGAACCCCAGAACAAAAGGAACACCTTGAACGGCAGTACCTTCGCAAAGCCGAATTCATGAACAAAAACGGGACAGTAATCTGGAACGGCGAGTTCGGGCCCGTCTACGCCAATCCCCGCACGGAAGCAGAGGCAGAAACCATCAATCAAGAACGTTACAGTCTTCTGGGAGAGCAGCTTCGTATCTACGACAAGTACAACATCCACTGGTCTATCTGGCTGTACAAGGACATTGGCCTGCAGGGTATGATCCATACAAGCCCAGACAGCAAATGGAACAGGACGATTCAGCCCTTGCTTGAGAAGAAAAAGAAGTTCTGGCTTGATGCATGGGGCAGAGAGCCATCCGCGGAGCCTGAAGCAGCACTAAAGCCACTGGTTGATTGGATCGACAAGGTCAGTCCAACAGCAAAGGAAACGTACCCGACCCCATGGCATACGGAGCGTCACCTACTGCGGAACGTCTTCCAGACATTCTTGGCAGCATCTTTTGTGGACGAGTTCGCGGAGCTATTCAGAGGAATGGATGAGAAGGAGTTAGAGGCCTTGGCGCATAGCTTTCACTTTGACGAGTGTGAGCAGCGAGGAGGACTGAATGAGATCCTCAGGGAACATGCTCGCGCAAGGAAGCACTGAGGGCTGGTGTATGGAGAGTAGATTATCGATCAGTCACCCTGATGACTTGTGGATGTTCTGCGAATCTCCACAGTTGTAATTGGTGCGTGCGTAGAGCGTGGTCTTAACTCAGATTGAAGCAAACTCGTTCAATATCCCAGCATATTTTATTAATGCCACGGTCTTTGGTGGCCCCACCATAATCTCCCAACCCGCCTTATCGATAACAAAAAATGGATGAGGGAGGAAAAAACTGTTGGGCGGGGTACCTGCGCTTTTTCATCGTCATCACCAAAGCCATCAGCAGTCGCTCTTTTGCTAGCTTTGTTCTTAGGTGGCCTGATTCGAGTGCTTGAGAGCATTCAGTATGTTCTTGTGAAAATTTCCAAATCATACCACTCGTCACGTGTTCGTTAATGTCGTCGGCCCAACCGAGGTCTATCCAAAGTACAAAGTCAGGCATAACACATCAGTTCGACCGTTTTGAAGGCGTTTAGAAGTTGCTCTTTTAAGATTCAGATCCTAAGAGAAGTTCTCCAAGATGTCTGAAGCATCGAGCGCTTCTTACCCGTCGTCCTTGGACGTTCTGTTTGATGGGACGTCGCCGTTGAGGGAACAGTATGACCCGGTCAAACTAGCACATGCAGAGATTGTCCCCATCCTCCAGCTTCCACTGGCTAGAGAATTGTTGGGACACAACTCTGCAGATGCGAGTGCTATCAGCCGCGTCTCCAACGGCGAGATATGCTATACCACCTTCCTGACGGAGAAGGCGAAGGCTACGGCTCAGATGCCACTGGATGGGCTTACTGCTGAGCAGCAACAGTCACAGATCCTCCATATCGGTCTGGCGGCTCTGTTTAACTTTATGCAATCCAATATTACAGGTCCTCCGTTGGATTTTAACTCAGCGGATGTGATTCTCCCTGAGGCTCTCCATTCAGATGCCACCAAGCTCCGGGCTGTTCGCAATCACATCATTCGTGAACTATCTGTAGACGGAGAAGCCGCCTACAAGCTGACGCCAAATGTTGAACTCTTTGCAGTTGCGAAGGCTCTTCTTGTTGATGCTGACATCCTCGTCCCTGACGGACCATTAGTAGCGAGGACGGCGAGACTCCGCGTCAATTTCCTTCACCAGAAGATGCTGTCCGAAGCTACTAGCACATTACAGGATGCCATCTATAGCGACTTGGAAGAGTTGAGCAAGATGCTACTTAGCGAAAAGTCTGTATTTTCTACAGCTCAAGAAAAAGGACGCTTCCTTGTGGAAAGGGCGACTATCCACACCCACCATGGCTTTGACACCAAGGCTCGGTCAGATCTTGAACAGGCTGCAGCAGTCAGAAAGTTTGAGTTTGCATTGACTGGAAGACTGGGAAAAAGGACGAAGTTCCAAGAACATGATATCAGCCAGCTGGTCGTCTTGGCAAAGAGTGCTGAAGAACTGACGACCACCGGAAACTCGGCTCTTCCGGAAAACAAGGAGGATACCCCCCCAGCAGGACCTAAGAACCTAGACCTCAACGATGATACACTTCTCGAAAGCATATCCTTCACCAAGGACACTCGGACATCCAAAGACAAGTCGACGACAGTCCAGGAAGAATCCACACTTCCCCCAGCTTTGCAGTCTCTTGACCCCGGCAACCAACCACTGCTGGACCCTGTTGACTCTGCCATTTTGCTGGGTTTGGCTTCCGCAATCACGAACACGTCGCCGGAGAACGGTCTCACTCGGGAAGAGACCCACCCTTACGCTATCCGTGTCCTTGAAGGGGGCAGTTCGAACTGGCAGGTATACACTCAAGCTTTGTTGGTCCGAAGCCGTGTGGAAGGATACCGAGCTCGAACTGTAGAAAGATCTGTTCTGCAGATGCAAGCGCTTGTTGACCAAGTCATTGCAGACACAGCAACTCTTGATACTCAAGCTACCGAAAATAGTAACCAGGCCACCACATTCCTCCCAAGACCCGAGAAATCCGAGTCTGCTTCGGCCGCTGAAAGACTAGAGTACATCTGGCTCTTGAACTCTCCTACTCGGTGGAGTCTCGAAGCTGAGTTGGCTCAACGCTGGGTCAACCTTGGCGGTCTGCGGACTGCACTGGACATTTACGAACGCCTGCAGATGTGGGCGGAGGCCGCTCTCTGCTACGCTGCCACAGACAGAGAAGAGAAGGCCAAGCATATCGTCCGCAGACAGCTTTATGAGCCCACGGGTCCAAACCCAGATGACGAGAACGAGAAGTTCGACGGGCCGGAAGTATCTCCGCTGCCCGTTGATGCCCCTCGCTTGCTCTGCATCCTGGGTGACATCGATAGTGATCCGACAATGTACGAACGCGCATGGGAGGTCTCAAACAACAGATACGCACGCGCGCAGCGTTCATTGGCCCGCCACTATCTTTCGTTGAAGCCCCCTGCTCTCGAAAAGGCAGAGGAGGCATACCGCAAGAGTCTCCACATCAACCGTCTCAACCACAGCGCGTGGTTTGCGCTTGGTTGTGTACAGCTTGAACTGCAAAAATGGGAGGACGCCATTGACTCGTTTACACGGACCGTGCAGCTCGAAGACACGGACGCCGAAGCATGGAGTAACCTTGCTGCTGCCATCCTGCGAACCGCCAAACCCAGCGAAACCACCGAAACGGCAGAGGAGGAGCAGCAAGATGCTGGCGCCGATGCCGATGCCGACTCGGAAACCAGAAAAAAACCACAGGATCCCTATAAGCGCAAGCGCGAGGCCCTCGCTGCTCTCCACCGCGCCGCTCAGCTCAAGCACACCGATGCTCGCATTTGGGACAACGTCCTGACCGTCGCAGCCTCGATCCCTCCACCAGCTACACCATTCCGCGATGTGGTCACAGCCCAGAGACGGGTGATTGAACTTCTCGGCCCAAAGAACGGAGAGAAGTGCGTTGATATACCCGTTCTCAGCATGCTGATTGAGCACGTCGTCGACACCTACAATTACGAGGACCTCCTGATCAAGGTGGATGAGAACGACGAGAACTCGGACCGCGTCGTCCGCAGTGGTACCATCGCCGGTCAGATCCTCTCCCTAGTGGACGAATGCGTTGTGCCTCTCATTACACACTCGGCTCCGCTCTGGCTTCTCGTTGCCCGTGTAGAACACTTCCGTGGCCAGCCATCCAAGGCCTTTGAGGCTCACGAGAAGGCCTGGCGAGCTACCGTTGCCTCGTGCACACAGGGCGCGTTCCAAATGGGCGATGAGAAGAAGTGGATGGATGTTGTCCGTGCAACTGAGAGGTTGGTCCGTGATGGATATGCCAGGTTTGGGCCTATGGACAAAGAAGGCAAACATGAGGGGGAGGCTGAGATGGTTGCTAAGGACTGGCGATTCAAGGCCCGCAGTGCTGTCAGGGGTATTTTGGGTAAAGGAAAGGACTTTTGGGAGGGTTCCGAGGGCTGGAGTCGTCTGAAAGAGCTGCAGTCCGAAGTGGGAAGTTCTTAGTTGTCAGACCTGAGAGATGTCTTATGCACTTCATGTCGGATACAACCTGATTAGCGTTTAAGTATGAATAGATCTGTCTTCGCTCAATCATGTGCTCGTTTTGAGTTATCATTCAACGTTCCATGCCCTCTTTCCGCATCACCTCCCCTCCACCTTTCTCTTTAACATCCCGCAGAAGCTCTCGAACAAGACGGAATCTAATCCCTTGAGCCAACGAACGACAACTCGGACGCACTTTTCATCAAGTCTATCCTGCTTCAGCTGAACCTTGAAACCAAGAGCCGCTGCACCCTCGTCAATTTCCATCATATCCGCAGCACCAGCCGAATTCTGCAACTTTCTGCGAGCTTGACGGGACCAAACATTCTCCATTGCGAATCCGACGCCGGTAGCCAGATTCTTACGCCAAGTCCAATGAATGCGAAGGCTGCTGAGTTCTTTGTCAATTTTGTCGCCGATGTCATCGATCGATTGATTCATGATTTCGAGCATGAACTCGGAGGGAAATGGTAGGAGGTGTTTCGGGAAGCCAGGGATGCCTCGGGCTACTTTCTGTTGCAAATCAGCACGGGAGCACTCAAACACTAGACCAAGATGTACTGAAGCATACCATACTCGGACGGAGATCAGTCCACGACCACGCCACAGCCCACCTCTTCGTCTTGCTTCCTTGAACAAATTCGGTTACCGCGTAGTTGTTGTTCCCGTGCTCCATGAGCTTCTCGACAATGACGGATACACTGCTCAGCTTCCCAAGCATTGAGGTGTACCAGACAACTCTCTCGCGAAGTTGAAGGCTTTCCTCAATCATGCGATAGACAAAAGCAATTTCACCGCCCTCAGTGACCATCTCGACCTCGTCTCCTGTGCATGCCTATGTCTGGTTTTCAGCAGGAGTCTGTAAGCCTCATTGAGTTGGACTTACTGAAAATGGAGGCCGTTCCTTGGCCTCTGCTGAAGCTATCATTTCTTCGCGTGAGGAGTAGAATGGAGGATTGCACATGGTAAAGTCGAGCCTGAAAATCTCAGATATATGCCGTTTATGCAATCTCAGTGGACACATACCTTTGGATGCCGAGCTTTGTGTCTAGAGGAATGAGATCATCCGTGCGCTCGGTTTTGAATACCCGAATTCGGCCATCAAGCCCGTTATTTGTCACATTTTCTCGGGCGGTTCGAACATTCTCGTTGTCGATATCTAGATTCTTGTGAGCTTTTCATCCATCCGATGCGGTTTGAAGCGACATTGATTACCTGTAGCAAAGAAATCCCACAGGGGCCGTGTCGTGCACCCGAGCAACGGGTATATACTGCAGCATCCTGTTCCACTACGAAAAGTCAGAAAGAGAACATCTCCAGAACAGGTGATACCCACATATCCAGGCCTACCACGGATCGATCCGGGTCGTAGTCATCGCGGTACTGGTCACCTGTGGTATCGAGAACGTCTTGCAGCCATAGAATATAGTTTAACCTGCTTGTCCGTCAGAACATATGCAATCTCTGTAACCTCTTTTTATTTACCTGTTTGGTATCTAGGGTATCAGGTTAGCATGTAAGACTTTTTGTTAGCTAAGTTAACATACCGGTGGACAAAGTCTGTTCTCAGGTATCTCAACATTCAGATTGAAATCTCTCTTTAAGAGACTCTTAGTCAATTGCCTGGAAAGCCGGTCAGTCATCTGCGACACCGGCAATATCTATGACCATCTTACCGTACGGCATCGGGATCGCTGAAATCTAACTGGCCATTTGGCTTCACACTGACAGTAGGGTCAGAGATGAGTATGAATCACAAGGCGGCGGACTGACTATTTCGCAAAAGCCGGCGACTGCAACGCAAGAGTAGTGAAATCGACGTCATCTCTGTAGATATTTCGAGCTGCCCTCATCATGGTAGATTAAGTTGACCACACAGGTAAGAACGTGTCAGCCTAAACCTGCGCCAAGAGGTGCCACGAAAGTAGTCGAGAACTAGTGAGACAGAATCAAAAATTCCTGTAGTAGACTAGTCAGTGTTATCTAGATGAAATGACGATATTAGTGGACGATTGGAGGCTAGATGCCAACCATGGCTGATGGTGGGGCTTACCTCGACTTTTCCAAAGGCACAGAAACAATGGTACAGACAGCAACAAAACCTCGTGATGTTGCGATGATCCTCATTGATGAACTGGACGCAATGATGCAGGAACCACAACGATCAACTGGAGAGTGTGGGTAAGTGTTCTCCTGAACGGGCTTGGGGCCGGGAAGTTTTGGTTCCCCAGAGTCAGGCCACAAGGCTGTAAGGCTGGTAAAGCTAGCACGGAATGATGTCACACCGTGGGCCGACGCGTATCGGACTACGGAGTACTGTCAAGTAATCGCCGATCCCCCTCCTTTTGACACTTAGGGTCAATCATAAAAAAAGAGTCTTCGAGCCGGATATTTATAGGAATAATTCGTGATCGAACTCCGAAAATCGTGAGCATTGCGAGAATTTCTACGGAGGGTTCTTCCATTGTTGGATGCCAGTTTGGATCGTTTTGTTTGTTTTGATTCCAGGAAAGTAACCTCTGTGGGTCACATCTTGAGATGGGGAAATTGAAGGAGAAATTCGAGCACGAGATAGACCATCTAGAAAGTGCTTTGAAAGGTCTGTATCGTATCCCTTCCAATGAGATTTCTGTCCCGACTGACAATGGCTATCAGACTCTCATTTACACGACGCCAAGGCAAAAGCTCACCACTTCAAACACAAAGTTGGAAAATTCTTCAATGTCGTCAACCCCAACCACCGCCATGATGAGGAGCATGAGCGGGAAACAGACAATAAGAGAACTGTGATTGCCGAGTCACATAGATACAAGTCGTTTGCTCCGGTTAGAGAGGGCAACAGGGTCAAGTGGTATGTCGACGCGCTGGACTACCTCTGGGCTGTCTCAGTCGCTTTGGAGGAGGCGAAGGAGGTGATCTATATCGAGGACTGGTGGCTCTCTCCGGAGCTGTTTCTTCGTAGACCTCCATATTTGACGCAAGAATGGAGGCTCGATCAAGTGCTCAAGCGCCGCGCTGAAGCGGGCGTTAAGATCTATGTGATTGTTTACAAGGAGGTTTGTCAGCGATATTGACTGTGTTCAGTCGGTACAACTGACAGGATCCAGGTCAATCAAGCACTGACGTGCAACTCAGCGCATACGAAACACGCGCTCCGCAGTCTCTGCCCTGAGGGAACTCCTGGTCACGGAAACATCAAAGTTCTACGGCATCCGGATCACAATATTTTTGAAAATGCGGCAGATATGACATTGTACTGGGTAAGTCCATCGTGGATTGTAGTTATAGTCAGAATTATGCTGACATTCTAGGCACATCATGAAAAATTTATTGTCATTGACTACGCCGTCGCCTTCATTGGTGGTATCGATTTATGTTTTGGTAGATGGGATGCTCACCAACATCCCCTGGCGGACGTTCATCCGGCGAACTTGAAGGACGAAATATTCCCAGGTCAGGATTGGAACAACAACCGTATTATGGATTTCCAGAGCGTTGCAGATTGGCAGTCAAATGAAGTAAGCAAAGCAGACTATGGTCGAATGCCATGGCATGATGTAGCAATGGGCTTGGTTGGAGATTGCGTCTATGATATCGCCGAGCATTTTGTTCTTCGATGGAACTTTGTCAAGCGAGATAAGTACAAGCGTGATCATGGCGTCGACTGGCTTCTGCTGGAGGGCCGCACCGGCGATGACGAAGATCTTGTCGGGGTACAACGCCCGAAGTATCCTTGTGGACACTATATTCGACATCCTCTCAATCCGCTAGACACCAAGCCCCGAGGAATGCAAGGCACTGTGCGGGGGCAGATTATTCGCAGCAGTGGTGATTGGAGCAGTGGAATCCTGACTGAGCAGAGTATTCAAAGTGCTTATTGCGAGATTATTCGTAACGCTCAACATTTGGTATATATCGAAAACCAGTTTTTCAGTAAGTCCACCTTCGCTACAATGCTTCAGATGCTGACGTGTTCAAGTTACTGCCACTGGAGACCAGCAAAAGCCCATCATCAATACCATTGGTCGTGCAATTGTCGACGCCTGCGTTCGAGCTGGCAAAGAGGGTCGGAAGTTCCGAGTGATCATTGTGATTCCCGCTATTCCAGGATTTGCTGGGGACCTGAGACAAAGTGCAGCAACTGGCACACGTGCGATCATGGATTATCAATACAAATCTATTCTGCGCGGGGAACACTCGATTTTCGGTCAGATCTCTGCTCAAGGAGTTGATCCAAGAGGTGAGTTCTTAACCTTCGCGGAAACAAATGACTAATTAATCAGAGCATGTGTTCCTTTTTAATCTGCGCGCTTATGACCGTATCAACAAGACTCCGGCTCTAGAAGAATTGGAGAATGAAGCAGGAGTAACGTATCATGACATCCAGCGTGGCATAGCTGAGTCTATCATGAGCGACAGCGTTCACCCGGTGGTTGGCGAAGAAGGCGACAAACACGAAGTCAATTACGACGACGCAGAGCGAGAGAAGGAAGAAAGGCTTGCAAGGTTGCGCAGATACGAGGAGAAGCAGGAAGGGCGCAGAAGTGAGCAATATCGAAGCAAGGACTCTGTCGCGCATACAACGATGCTCAATGGCGACAAGATGTCTGAGGAGCCCTGGGAAGGAGATCCGGAGAGTGAAAAGGCAAATTTTGTCCAGGAAGAGCTCTATGTGCATGGTAAAGTGTGCATTGTAGACGACAGGATTGCCATCTGCGGCAGCGCGAACATCAACGACCGGGTGAGTATACCCTCCTACAAATGCTTGACTCCAGGACTGACACCAAAAGTCACAACTCGGTTACCATGATAGCGAGCTGGCCATTGTTGTCGAGGATCAAGACTTCATCGATAGCACGATGGACGGAAAGCCATATAGAGCCTCGCGCCTTGCCGCTACTTTGCGGCGGCAGCTGTGGCGGGAGCATTTAGGCCTTCTTCCAGCACAAGACTACGACGCCTCCAAGCATCCTAACGCGCAGCCACCTAACGTGTGTCTAAATGAGATTCTTGAGGGCCCGGAGAACGACTTTGTCACAGATCCCTTGAACGATGACTTGTGGAAGACCTGGACAGAGCAAGCCACAACGAACACGGAAGTATATCGGATGCTCTTCCGCACGGATCCAGATGACAACATCCGCACCTTTGAGGACTATGATAATTTCAGACCGCAAGGCGGTATTAAAGAGGGTCACCTGTTCGATCCGTACCAGCCCGTCAAGGATGTCCGAGAGAAACTGGACAAGATTAAGGGCCATCTTGTCTGGATGCCCCTCGATTTCCTGAAAGACGCCGAGATGGCAGAACCTGGTCTGGCTGTTAACCAAATCACTGAGGCAAGTTTGTTAATTACACGCTTTACAAGATACTTTTTTGCTAATCTTGTTGCAGAGCATCTATACCTAATCGTCTGCTATCTTTGTCCCAATAGCGGAGTACTTCATTGCAATCATGATTTTGAAACCATTTGATGACTATTCAAGCGAGCAGGATAGGGGCTGTCAAGTTGTACATTCGTCCATGTTAGCATTGTAGATACAACACTATCGCAAAAGTAACTATCATGTGGATATAGCAGGTTTTTAATGAGGAATATGTCCGCCGCCACGAACAAAGAGCCAACCATGAAAATGTCGGCATATTATCAGCCAGATTTGAGCCACTCATTGTCATATACCTCCACCACTGATACTGCAAGAGATCAACTCCTTGTATTAAAATGGAATACATCGATCACTCCTCCCACAGCTCATAGTCAGGAAAGTACTTATCATGGATCCGTCTCGCATAATTGACCAGGGCCGGATAGCCCTTGATAATCTCCCTTGAGGCTGGTGCGCTGCCCAAGATATCAGCATACCGCAGGCAAGCAAAGCAAAAGTGAGTACTCACGCATCACACACCAACCCCGACGCAATGAACCCAAACAGCACCGCATCCACCTCCGTCGGCCCCTCTCCACCCCAGACCCAGAACGGCCCCTCCCGACCGGACTGCTTCGTCTGCGCCTCCGCCACCACCGCATTCAGACTCGCCCAGATCTCTTGCCGGAACGCACTGATCTCATCTTCAGTGAAGGCCATGGTACCCTGGCCCTGGAGATTGCGGGTAACTTTGCGGTAGATGATGTTGCCGACGACGACCTGGACAGGCCAGGGGAGGGCAGCGAGGATCTTGGAGCGCATGGTGTAGAAGTTTAGGATCCATCGTTCATAGGTCTTTTCACCGTTAGGTTAATTTCTTCACTGTCGTGCGTAGTGATGTGACTCGTACCTGGTAAGAAGACAACTTATCCTCTAGCAATGCTTTGAGCGCCAGGTCATGCAGTCGCTCCGTTGGAGACAGGTGCTGGTTCAGATCCTCTGTGTACCCCTTCTCAATCAGCGCTTTGGTGATGAGAGTTGAATCTGCGAGCGTCTGCGGCGGCTGCTCGCCATCCTGGATGGAGACGTAGGGGACCTTGCCGCGGGGAGCTTTGGGGATGGCGCCTTGTTCGGTGCGGTAGGGGATGTTGCCGAAACGGAGACGGGCCTCCAGCTTTGTGACGAAGGGGGACCAGACGTAGCAACCGGTTTCTGGGAAGCCGCGGAAGACGGTAACTATGGGGGATGATTTGGTGGCCATTGTGGGTTTTGATAATGGGAAGATGACAATGTTAGAGGGTGAGTTTAGCTAAACTACTGATATTTGTTGATACTTCGAGGATGGATTGGAGCGAATAAGAAGTATAAGTACAAAAAAAGGGTGAGAATAACGTATGTAAGTCGGGAAGAAAGTTCTAGGCTGCGATGCCCTTTAGGGACTCCGATACGAGGGTCTAACAGTAGCAAGTTTATAAGCCACAAAATTGAATGGCTATCCTATTAGCCAGTTGCTTGTAAATACTAGAGTTTCAAGAGTCCGGTAAACAGAGAAATTACTCAATTGACCCATGTTCAGCCAGGCATCCTCAAATCTCGCACTACTCATCTAACAATGCTGGGGTTATTTCCGATGTATAGTAACAAAGTGATAGTACTTAGTATTGACTATTGATAAATACATCCGATTTGGCCCTTGCACTCGAGTTTCGGCTAATATTGTTGTATCATCCATTTCTGCCCTGGCGCAGCAGTTGGTCCCGAGTTTCTTATTGAGATAGGTAGGATTGGAAACACATTAGAGTATCAGCTACTTCCTTAGTTTTTAAGTCTAGAAGACTGACCCGTGGCTTGCTCGTCAGTATGTCTCACTTTGTGTCTCACCCTCTGCCTCAAATCTATTACCGTATTCACTAACTGAGTATGACATTCACTATCCTCAACAATGCTCACTGTGGTCAATGATATGTAGCGCTCAAGGATAGTGAATTTCAACAATCTTCATTCACTGTAAGGACCTTGAACCAGTCATTCAATGGCAGATCGAACTGAGACAGATAGAGACGAATACCATCGTCTCCCCCACGATTCTCCGCTCTCCATCTTCCTTTCTTCATATCTATGGAGCTAGAGGGCCCTCACTCAATTAGAGTCATTTTGCAGGTTTATCTGCGGGACTCTCGCGATGACTTATTCCTTCTTGACGGACCTGTATGGTCAAAATAGGTGAGCTTCATGTTCACTCTCCCGATGATCCCATGGATCTTCGGTTTCCATCACATATGGAACTTTGGTCGATGACTTGCTAACAGTATGAGACACTAGAAGTAACAGCAACAGCGGCAACAACAGCCAGCCCCTGCCTTTCTAAGCCTAGGGGCCTTATCTTGATTCTAGCCGAGCAAGAAAAGACGCCGAGAAGAAGCTGTTCGGCGCAAGGAGCGCCAGCACCTCTGCCGTGAGGTAGGTTTATAATCTAATAATAAAAATATCAGCATCTATTATCATCTAGATGGCGGAGAGAGGTGTCCTCGTGCCAAAGGACATCCAGGCATGGCTGGAGCCGAAGCTGCAGCCCGATCTCACACGGGCCCAGCGACTGCTGGAGGGTGTATGTTGACTTCTTGTCGAATTGAGATTCCGCGGAGTTCTATGCAAGTTCAACTCTGATTGAAAGGACACGTGGTCCTTAGAGGATTTGAGGCCCAGAACGGAAGAGGTCGTGAATGGACGGGACGGCATATTTACAAATCAATTTGTTTTTGCCGATCTCGGCACGCTATACGTGATCTTAAAATCACACCGAAGTTCTACGTCGATGTACCACGAGACTTCAGAGAAGCGGATGCTCGAGCAGCTGTACAGCTGCTAAGATGTGAGAGAACGGCTGATGAAACGCCTTTTGACACAGCAGAGCTCGTTAAAGCAGAACCTGTCAGTGCAAAAGAACAGCTCATGGAGGCGACCAATCAAGCAACACGCCTCTGATTCCCACTTCAAAGAAGATGAGCCGGCTATGTACATACGTGGCCGATACAACCCAGGACTCGACACGTCCATTCGCCTGAAGGAGGAGGCCAAGGCAGCACCAGATGCCGCGAAGACGACGTTTGAGAAAGCAGACAAGGTACGTGAGGAGACACTCAAGGCATCCAAGTTTGGTGGATGACTCGCTAACAGCATGACGCACTAGACGCTGCTAGATAGCGCAGCAGGGCATTCAATTGCCTGAGGAGGTCCAGGCAGGGCTGCGGGACGCCCGCCACATGACCACTGATTCGGACACTGGATATCAATCCGCCGCCGCCGCCGCCACCTCCTCCCGCTCCCGCTGGCCCCCCAGCCCCCTCTGGTCCCGTGGGTATTCTTGATATACTACACAGGTCATGTGGCTAACCTTAGTTCTAGCCAACCAAGAAGCAGAAGCGTGAAGAGGAGATCCGGCGCAATGAGCGCCAGAGAATCACTCACCTCGTAAGTCTATATTGTCTATACACAGATGTATATACCAGTAACTAATCTATATTATCTACTAGATGGAGGCAGAAGGGGCGGACCTGGGCAGAATTGCCAGAGTCCATCCAGAGAGGGCTGGGGGTGCCGCAGCTGCGGCCCAATCTAACACCCGCCCAGAAGCTCCATCTTACAGAGCTAGAAGGCGAGTGGGCTGCAGCAAAGCTGGAGCGGGAGGAGGTGCACAAGAAGTGCAAGGCGGCCAAGGAGGCAGTGGAGAAGGCCCAGAAGGACTTGGAAGAGGCAGAGAAGGCCTGGCGCTCCGCCGACAACACAATAAAGAAAGTGTCGGCGGAGCGCCGGCTCTTCTTTGAAAATCATTCAATTGCCTGAGGAGGTCCAGGCAGGGCTGCGGGACCCCCAGCCGCGGTCCGAACTCTCACGGACCCAGCTGGCCTGCGTCCGTTGAACTCATTGTTGTTGAGTTCATCGCCGAAAGGGGGAGCGGAAGGAGAAAAGGCAGCAGCGGAAGGAGAAATGGCAGCAGCGGAAGGCTGCAAAGGAGTCACTAGAGGCTGCGCAGAAGGCCTTCGATGAGGCGCAGAAGTCATGGCAGGATGTCGATGATGCCGTAAAGCTGCGGCCGAACATCACAAGAGCCCAGTGGCTCCGGGACAAAGCGAAGATGCGCCAAAATGAGGCCAAAGGAGGAGGAGCCCGCTGCCACCGTCGCCGCTCCCGAGCCAAAGGTAATATAATAAAAGTAGCATTCTTGACTGACAGGTGACTAACTGACTTATAGAGGACTCGCCTTGATAAATTCAAGGAGGAGTGGCGCAAGGAGCTTTTACAAGAGGTAAGCTCCCCTTTAAGTATCAATGCATACATATATGTGGGATATGTACTATGTACTCTATACTATATGCACTATATATCTTAAGATAGTACTAACTATAAGGTTATTATTAGCTCCGCGAAGGCCACTGGGTTGTCCCAGACGACGAGGAAGAAGCCCCTGGCCAGGCCCTCCGAAAGCAGGAGTTGCTGGAAGAGCTGGAACAGCGGAAGGCAATCAAGGACCAGTGCCTTCATGATAAAAGAGAGCTGAAGGAGGAGAGGCAGCTGGGGCAGGAGATCTCAGACTTAGAGGAGGGATCCGCAGCTTTCCATAAGGCGAAGGCCGACATCGCAGAAACCGTTCGCAAGCTGAATAAGCTCCATAGGGGGTGACCGTGAAGCTGACGTGGGATGGATGGCTGCAGACACTGCCGTAAAGCTGCAGCGTGGCCACGCATGTGCCCAGCTGCTCTGGATCGAAGAACTTTTCGATCCGGAAGGGGAACGGGGGAGGCGAAAGCGAGGCGGAAATCAATGCGACGAGGTTTAGTCTCCCCTAAGACTCCATTTTCCTTCTTAGCAGCAGTAGTAGCTGCTGCTGCTGCAACAACAACAACAACATCATCATCATCATGGGTAAGTACTCATCTCCTGGCAATATCACTCTTAAAGAGTGAAAGACTGATTCATGGCTTTAGCAGGACAGAAGCGTCTGTTTGAACGCGTCACAGTTGTAAATTCCCTTTCCTCTCCATAGCAATAGATATTGAGCCTTGAAGCATCATAGCTTTGGCGGAGTCCTCGCTCAAGTCTCGAGCAACAACTTGCAATCATCTAAAGTTAAAGGCACTACTGCGGGCTCCTGATGAATGAGAAAGGAGCCATCTTCATACATACAGTTGAAAGCCTGCATCATAATCGGCACATGCTTATGTCCAGCAGGCATGCTCTCTGTTCCTGGCTGTTCGTTCACTAGGTCTTATTGTACAGCAAGATGTTCTCCCGGTCATTTTTAGCCATCTTAGGATTTGCTCAACTCATTGATATTTTCTTACAGGGTGTTGACAGTCCCAGGGAAAGAAGAACAGGTCCGTGCAAAGCCTCTGAGTCAAGCAAGCATCTTGCGGAGTACTGAGTCTCCGATTGCTCCAGCATCTCATGTGCTCTACTGAACAGGTACATTATAATAACGACTACTCAACGTTCTCAACAACAGAAAACCCAGCCTTCTCCTTCAAGAACAGCACTACATCGTCAATCTCGTCCGGCACTTTATACCAATGTCCGAACTCCTCATATGCTTTCCACGTCACATCCATCCCAAACCCATCAGATAGGATGGACGCCATCCGTCGTCCCAAGTCTACCGACACCTTGGGATCTGCAGCCCCGTGGCCCAGGAATACTGGTGTTTTCAAGTAGGACACACATAACGCATTCTCCGAGTCATCAGCGTCAGTCTGAATGGGTGGCGTACCAAGAATCTCCCGGACATGATTGACTGCTTGGCTGTGCGCGGGGACGTCAACATCTGTGTCGTGGGCGAACGGGTCGTCATCGTCGTCGTCTTCAGCGCCTGACTTTGGCTCTCCCTGATTGTCTTCATCAATACTCAAAAACCCAGAGATCTCCCCTTCAAACGGTAACCACCCGCTCATCCCGATGTATCCCCCAAGGCGTCTACTATCTCCATCCTCGCTCGCAGAAGGAAATCCCCCCAAAAGACAGAAAACAGAAGCCGCACACCCCTGGCTCAAGCCCCCGATCACGACCCGACTATACCCGTCACCAACAGCGGGATCATTCGACAAGAGCTTCGCCTCTTCAACAATCAATTTCCGAAGAAATTCACTACTTTCCTGTAGTCCATCAATCTGTAATTCGGTCCGTGTATTCGGATTCTTAAGCGAGTAATTGTCGAACCACTGGTTTATAGGAATTCGTTTCAGTACTGTAGAGCGCCGTTTTCTGGCGGTGGGGAAGATGAATTTGGTAGTGGGGAGGCGCTTCGCGATGCCGGTTGATTCAATGAAGACATGGCCGAAGCGCTCGCTATTACTTCCGCGGCCGTGGAGCAGAATGATTGTATGCGTATGTTGGTCATCCCTGAGAGGCGCAATCACGAGGGGAGAGGGATAGGGCTTGGAAGAAGGCATGATAACGGATGGTTGAGAATTGAGAGAGCTTCTAAGAATACAGTGGGCGGAAATGTCCTTTTAAATGATGCCGCTTGTGACAACAATGTGGCAGTGAAGCGCCTAAACAAATATCGTAATGGGCGCAAGAAAGATATTGACATATTTAAGCTGATCTGCGGTTGGACACAGGGTATGACATCTGATAGTCCCGAAGGTATATATCTAGTCGAGTTGCCTTAGTGAGATGATACAACGTAGGGGTTTTCTGTGATTCCTAATAGAAAGTAACTCCCATCAATATTTACTCTCACTATAGGAGAAGCCCTTCACTTTTGCCTTGACATTAGTGACTAACGCATTTAGATGCATTGTAATATCATTATATTCTGCTGGCGTCGTGGATCTGCTGAGGGTGTTGGTCATGGCGAATTTGCCAGGTTTGGCCACTTCGTCCTCGTTAGAAATATGGCATTGTTATATCTCCAGTTCAAAGTTCGATCCATAGATTCGACGAATTGATTTCAATCTAGAACTAGTCATGATACAGAATACTATCCTTGACTGCAGTCTCCATAATCTATCAATGAGACATGACATAGCAGGCCGGGTTCTTAAGAGTGGAATAAATGATCAGAACCACTTATCTTCTCTAGAAGGTTGTTCCCGAGAGAGCGATTGCTGCCAATTCCATCGCACATGCCTATATCAGGTTTCGCCTCCAGCTTTCAGACACCATATCGCTAGACACTGGTTAAGGACAGGACAGTGACAGTTATACATTAAAGCATTGTTTTATAGGCCCTCTGCTCATTTGACGAAGATGGTTAGAGATTCCACAAGAATAATATTTATCAAGACTGTACACTTCACTGAATGTGAATATTGCTAAGCATGGTTGCGGATTCTGTCACATATTATTGAGTGTACTGAGGAAGCGCAAAACTTGTGAATGCTCTCTGCTGCCTCTTCCTTCTCCTCTTCTATTCTTTTTGTCTTCCCTTTTCTCTTTGTCTTTATCTTCACCTTCACCTTCACCTTCACCTTCACCTTCACCTTCACCTTCACCTTCACCTTCATCTTCATCTCTACTATCACTTCTATCACCATCGTCTCGGCTTCTTCATTCAGCCGCCTTCCCCAAGTCATCGGGCTGGACTGGAAGCCGTCCCTCAAATTTCTTCGGTTTTCAAAGTGAGCGAACATTTACTTGTTCCTAAGGACTTCCTCCTTCCAATAGCCAATCATCAGCTCGTTAACTCTCATCAGGATATGGTGAAAGGAGCTTTACCATGATAGAATCGGTCAGTAAATACGGGTTATCCATTCCCTCGCTTAAAACACATCATCGACGAAGAAGACAAAGAGCAAGGTATGTGTTCACCATTTGAATTGCTACTTACCCATTCCAAGAAGGCTGATCGAGACTACTCCTTGGACCAAGTGACTGGTGGACATTCGGATCAGTACAGCCAACGCTTGAACTACTCGCATTCGGAACCTAATACGAAGTACTACGAAAAAAGATGCGTGCAAATCCTGTTCCTAATATTTGATCTATAGGAGGTGAGTAGCACCACTTTCTCTTAACCCGCTGCTGCTGGCTGACAGTGAGCTAAGACGCGATTGTAGAGAATCATACAATCGGATATCACTTCAAACACTTCAAAAAATCTCGGTACCGCATCAGCCAATCATCTCGACACCGAATCGCGCCGGAGCATAGGTAAGTAGGGTAAGTAAGTTTCCCTTCCCTCCTTCGCCTTGAACGGCGAGAGATAGTCTCCATGAGACATCTCTGCATCGTCAAGGGCAGCCTCTACGAGACCGTTCTGGCACCCGAGCTCGAGGACAAGAGAAGCCATACTCCAGCCCTGCTCTCCGAACACTACAAGTTCAGAACTTGTTAACCTTCGAGAGCATGCCACGCCGCGAGACAAGGGTAACTTCCAACTGGCGTCCGTGGCATTCGAGTCCAAGGACAAGCAGAACCTTGCTCCCTTTTCCCTCTCAAGAAGCGACAAGTCCATGACTCACTAGCATCTGAGGGAAGGCCACGCCATACGGCAAGAGTGTTTCTATGAAGCGTCTCTGGCATCAGAGCTCAGGACAAGGAGCACCTTGTTCCAACACACCCCTTACGAAGCGAAGAGTTCATGACTCAGTAGCATCTAAGGGAAGGCCACACCACAAGGCAAGAGTACTTTTACGAAGCGACTCTGGCATTTGAGCTCAAGGACAAGGGTAAGCTTGATCCGATCCCGCTCTTTGCAGCTCTCCTTGTTGGTATTCGTTGCAAGAGCAGAATGGTAAAGGCAAAGCTGAGAGAACTCATGCTGAGGCAGTCAATGCTTCAGAAGAAGCACCTGTCTCTGTGCCACCATGCAACGACAGCGAGAAATCCGAGGCCAAGCTGGTCACAGAACTCAATGTCGATTACAGTGACATCGGAGATGAGAACAATCTGTTCCAAAATCCGTTTGGCATTGATGACAATTGCGGCGAGGTAGAAACTGAGCCCATTGTCAAAATCTGGTCTTCGAGACGAATGACTGGATTCGGAGCTTGCGAATAATGGCGGATACCTTTATTTCAACTCCGGCTCTACCAGAAAATGCCTACGTTGCAGCAATTGCTCGATGGCTTTCTGCGTGAGCGAATGGGAAGGGCAAGCACACAGTGCGCTCGGGCATTTAAGAGACGCACCGCGTTTATATGCCACCATTCAAGGGCGAGTAATTCGAGGCCAATCTGGCTCCCGGACTTGACCCCAGATCACAGCGTCGGTGATGAAGGATCATGTTTACAATCCGAGACGTCAATATTGGCAATGTTGATGATGAGAGTGATGGGTACTCTATTTCCTGAGACGTTGTTGAAGCCGACGTTGGTGATGAAGGACTTGTGTACTCTATTTCTCGAGACTTTGACAATATCGACGTCGTTGATGAGGATTCAGTTAAACTACATTCTGAGACGTTGAAGACATATTCGGATTGTGTGGAGTGGGAAAGACAAAACCAATAGCTTTCAGAAAGCTGGTACGACTTCATAAGCTTGGTGCCGCATACGGACATCAAACCGACAATTTTCATGGGAGGAAATCGCATGAGAGGGAGACGGCGCCATGGCATGACCGGCGTAGCTGAGTAAGATTCTCTTTGCATCCAGTCTTAGCTCCAGATCTCTAGCACCGTGCTCTTCAAGTGCCATACTAATTATCACGTTTATCACTTGCAGATACCAGCAAGCCTAACGCAGACGACAACCCGGACGACCCCGACCGACATGGCCACAACAACAGGGACAACAACAGGGACAACAACAGGGACAACAACAGGGACAACAACAAAGGGACGACAGGGACATCATCGGGGCACATCAATTAGGGCCTTCTCACAGTGGACTTCGACTAGAGGACGGGGATAGGAGACATCGATAGGGACGTCGATAGGGGACTTCGACAGGACTTCGACTAGTGGACACTGACAGGATCTTTGACAGGAATTTTACAAGGATATCGACTGAGGCTTTGAAGGGACATTGACATGGACTTCGACAGCGACATCAGCCAGGGAGATGGATAGGGGACATCGACTAGAGGATATTGACCAGGGACGCGAATAGGGGATACTGAGAATCGACCAGGGACCTCGACCAGCGACCTTGATAGGGGGCACTTACTAGGACTTCGACGAGGAATTTGACTAGGGGGTATCGACAGGGACATCGACAGGGACATCGACAGGGACATCGACAGGGACATCGACAGGGACATCGACAGGGACATCGACAGGGACATCGACAGGGACATCGACAGGGACATCGACAGGGACATCGACAGGGACATCGACAGGGACATCGACAGGGACATCGACAGGGACATCGACAGGGACATCGACAGGGACATCGACAGGGACATCGACAGGGACATCGACAGGGACATCGACAGGGACATCGACAGGGACATCGACAGGGACATCGACAGGGACATCGACAGGGACATCGACACGGACTTTGACTAGGACAAGACAGTGCGGATTGATAGAGGACATCGACAGGGCTGTGGATTGGACATTCAACAGGGGGCGTCAACAGAGACTTCGACGGGCTAGGAAGGACGACGGAGGATATGGAAGAAGGATATACCGGATGAAGGGCTGTCACCAACTTCACGAGGAGAACAAATTACCGAAAACACCAACTACGAACATATCACACAAAAAGGCCATCACTATGGCAAATCTCTCATCGCGACTGAGAGGGGTCAGGGGCGGGTATACAACAGAGCCATCTATGGCAATCATGGTGAGTCCACAACCCTTTGCGAATGATGGATTAATACTGACGGCATCTGCAGACAATCTGAACACTGTGGATATCATTCTGAAGCAATATAAGCATGACAGCAGCCACAATAGCATATGCGGGTTTTCTCCTTAGCAAACACATTCATTCATTGTGCACATCCAAGATTCATCACAATAGCCAGATAAAGGGTATATATGCAAACATAAACTCCTTCAAGCAATTTAAAACACTTAGTCCTTGTGAGCAGCCGTAGCCTTCTCAGGATCCTCCTCGACGACTCCACGGTGAGCAGCCACAATCTCCATATCGCGGTCATGCGCGACATCAAACTGACGGCCCAGCTTCTCCGGCCCAAAGAAGGTAATAAAAATGACATAGGCGTAGACGCATCCCATGAAGATGCAGATGACCTTGCCATAGTCGTAGCGGTGCTTGACCTTCTCCGTCGGCGGCAGGGGGAACCGCTCACCGATCGTCGACTCGATGGTCGAGCTGGCCGACGAAACAAGGTTACCCAGCTGGTACGCGGTACCGACAGCAAAGGTACGGATCGAGCCCGGGGCAAGCTCCATCAGATGGATGGGGATGACGCCCCATGCGCCCTGCACGCAGAACTGCTCGAAGAAGGCAGCCGCCATGACGGATTTGTCATGCACAAAGGTATAGGGGTACAGCAGGGCACCGCCGACGATGGAGATGACGATGATGGAGAAGCGGCGGCCGAAGATCTGACTCGCCCAGCCGCAGAGCGTACCGCCGGAGAGGGCACCGAGGTTGGCGACGACCTGGGTGACGGTGACGGCGTTGGAGGAGAAGCGGAATTGGTTCGTCAGCATGGTGGGGTAGAGGTCCTGGGAGCCGTGGGACTATTTGACCATGTCAGCTGGATTCGCCGTGGCTGGATCGGATTCGCTGTGCGCAAAGGTTTATACATACCATGAAGTTGAAACCGGCCATGAGCAGGACGAGATAGACGAGCAGCAGCCAATGGCGCTTAAGCGCGACTTTACCCTCCTCGAAGAAGGTGGAAGTGACGCCGCCGCGGACCTCAGCGCGGATGGCCTGGCGCTGACGGAAAGCCTCGGTCTCGGGTAGACACAGACGGAAGGCGATGATGAGGACGGGAGGGCAAGCAGCGAACCAGTAGAAGGGTCTCCAGCCGTGCGGGGTGGTGTCGACGAGGGCGCGCGCAAAAGCGGTAGCAAGTAGATATCCGAAGGCGTAGCCCTGCTGCAGGAGACCGGACACGATACCGCGCGCCTCCATGGGACAATCCTCGAGGGCGGTGGCCGCGGCGTTACCGTATAATCCACCCATGGCGATTCCGAAGAGAGCACGGCAGGCACTATGCGCCGGTCAGTGACGTTCCACAGAACAATGCAAAAAGAGACTTACAGGAACTGTTTGTATGTCTGGCAGAAAGCGGTTCCGAGTTCCAGAACAATGAAGAGGATGTTGTTCACCACGAACGGCCACTTGCGGCCCCAGCGATCGGATGCGATACCGAATGTGATGGCGCCGACGGATCGGAGCATGAGGACGAGGGTAATACCCCAGGTGATATCGGAGATGGATTTATCGAATTCCTTGGCCAGTTGGGAGGTGGTCAAGGAGACGGTGAAAAAATCGAAGGCGTCCCACGTCCAGCCGAGAAAGGCGACCTGGATAGGTTAGTTAGGGTTATTCAGCGAGGAGGCGATCAAGGGCTAGCTCACCAGGAAAAATAACCATTGTTGTTTGTTCAGGAGCGTAAGCGCCTTGAAAGGATTGGGAGCAGGGTTCATGGGAGGTTTCAAGGTCGAGATCCGAGTGACGAGGTATCTGACGATGCTCAGGCGAGGGCCGTCCTCGCCCGCGGCTGAGACGGGAGCCTCATTATGGTGAGGCTTTCCCTCATACTGTTCAGCCATGTTGAGGGAGAGAATAGCTGGCCGAGAGGAACAGACAGCGAAAGGATGAGGGGTAGAACAAGTAGGGTGGATGAAGAAGGGAGATGTCGCAAAAGCAGCAGAAGAGGGAGCTGGGCCGGTTTTAAATCAGCGAACGAGCGACTCGGCTGAGAAGAAAGAAATGTCATGCCGAAATGACCCCTCACCCCGGTTATTATTCCGTCTGGGGAATGATAATACTACCTTACGTTTCTTAGTTCATCGACATTTACACGGTTACACTACCTCGTGCAAGCATGCTCCAGTCTAGTCAGCCGCTAGGGAAGTTTAAGCCTCGGAGGAGAGAAGAAACCGTGGCACCAAAGGGCTAAACCCCGGATAGGCCAGAGAGAAGCTTTTGGTGGCAGTCTTGGTCCCTTGGAGAGGCCGATGTCGTCTCGACTCGACTCCTTGCATGAATCCTGCCATCCGGACTTCGAGGAGAAAATTTCCGACAGTGACAGTTCTTTACACTACTCTACAATATATCCGTCAAAATGATCAAAAAACTTATCGGGTTGATAGATATCCAGGGGCTACAAAGGGCCTCACGCAGAGATAGTGCCAAGGTTTAGTCAAGACTCAAGGGGCCAAGAATCTCCGCAATCTGGGGATAGAAACTTGAAATGACGCCTTCGTTATGATTCTATTACTGTCTCTGTTCCGCAGAACTTGAAAACCATTAAACAGAGATGCAAACTATCTAGACACGATCTGTCCGTATCCTGCTCTGAAGGATTGATTCGCTTTGCCGTACTTCCCCGGCCCATCTGCCAGCTTGTCGGTCACCCGAAGGTCTAAAGTGCGAAACTTCTTTTGCTGGCCTTTTGCAATCCTTTTGCTCAGAAGAATTTTGCCACCGCAGATAGGTAGTGGTCAGTGAGAGTGAAGTAGACGCGTTCGCTTTCCCTCGAGGTTCCTGCGCTGGTCTGAGCTGCCGTACTGGGTGTCGGTTGACGATTTTGATTTGCTCATTCTTTGGGGCACCACGGGCGGTTCAGGTTCCTTTGAAATTCTAATTAATCCCGCATTGTGCGGTGCGGGGTGTTCGTGTGGAGAGATGTCTGGACTTCTCTCCTTTCGCCGGTTCATCTGGAGAACCCCAAATATATCGCTCAAAAGATACGATTTATTATCGCCAAGATGAAGGTCAATGCTAACAGTGGTTTGTGGCTCAGAGTTTAATGACGCCAAATATCGTGCTGTAGTGGACATGCGGTCGGACAAGCTCGCCCAGACAATTCTTAGTATTCTTGGACTCTTGACCCTCTTGGCCCCTGCCCCATTCAACAACTTGGGTTGAGACACGAGGTCTTTGCGAATTCATTGGCTCTAGTCTTACGTCAATCTCCCTTCATACCCATTGAGCTACTGTTTGGGTCATGCTCTCAATTACACTTGTTCTCGAGTAGAGCTCCGTGTCCGCATTCTTCGGCTGTTAGTGCGGAATAGTGCCTCTCATGTACTCGGTTTCTCCGTGGATCGGGAACTCTAATTTCAGAGGACGGCCGTCCATCCTAAGTTGTCGTAGGTACAACAAGAAATAATCTTCCTGCTCTGCTGCAATCATTTTCGAGTCAGTAGTAGCAATAGCCTTCCTGTTGACAGGACCATGTCGCCGATATCCGGAGCATTCTTGAATATCTCAGTTTCTTCGTTCTACCATAGCGCGCCACTTGAAATCGGCTGAACCCAAAGCTGGTTTTGACGTGCTCTCCAGACCCAGAAAGTTTTTCGATCTCAAAACAAGGGTCGACATTATTCAGCAGTTGCCGCACCGGCGTTCGCGCATCAATTGGAACAAAATATCGCGGTTCTAAAATCTCAGCCGAACCCATCGATGTTACAGCGCCGAGAGATTACATCATGCTGGTCGAAGTATGATTCTCCTGCTTGAGATGCGAGGTACAAGGAACGGGGAAAGCTGTTGTAGTCCTTTTCGATACATACTGCCAACGGAAGATCAATTGGTCAGGCCTTCATCCGCGGCATTCGTTGGTCGCATACTTGGAGTTAATGGCGAGTTCCATCGCCGGCTAGCTCCAGCAAGCGAGGTTTGTCGGACCCAGGTTCGGGTTTCGAATACTTCCTGCAGCTCTTGGTGAACACAAAGCATGGCGCTGAAAGCACCGTCCTCCAAGCCATGGTCGCTTTTTTACGGAGGCTGTGCACTTGCCTATAACCCTGACAGGGAAGCCTTCAGGTCGTTAAAGCTACTACTGTTGGTTGTGTTCGGAGAGTGATATCTGCGAAGTGTTTTGGCTGTCAGAGGTCACCTCTAAATCATCACGATGATGATCGCTGACACCTCGGGTCAAGACCACCGTTCCACTGCGAATCGCGACTTGAACTCTGGTAAGCAATGGAGCATCAAGGACTCGTAGTCGTGCGTTGTTGAGCTGCCTTTAGTACTCTCGAGTACAAACGGCTACATTATAGCCAACGGCTAGGCTCTTGGATGAGATGCAGGATGCGCTTGATTATACTGACTACTAATGTGTCCCTGGACACTTACAGGTCAACCTGTTACCAACATTGACGCTTTGCTGTTTGATTTGTTGAATTCCCAAAACTACTTTCTGCCATATCATCACATCGCTAAACACGAACTCTCGGGCCCAAACGTTCTATTTCCGAATGATTTCAGACATACGGATCTCAATCACCACCATAGTAAATAGGCTCTGATCCTTTCCAGGGCAGTCTCTGCATCCGTCCCGAGTTGTATCTCTAGCGAAAAATAAATCTGGACAGCCATCGAGTCTCACAGTAACCGTTTCTCATGACTGGAGACTCTGCGAGCCTATAACCATAGTCAACAGAAGTCACGGTAGTAAGTAACACAGACAAGACATAAGGTAAAAGCTCATCAGAATCTGCTTAATATACAACTTCAGATCATACCGGCCGGCCAGAGTATTGACCGAATCACACTTTGAAAATTTCTTCATGCTTCGTTCTTAGTTCTAAAATCTCAAGGAAACCAGAAGACAAACCTGTTCTGTGTTGATCTAGATCGACAGGGGTGTTGAGTGGGGAGAGTTATCAACCAGATGAAGAGTGAATAG